GCCAAGGAGATGCAGAAACCAGGCAGAAAGTTGTTCAATTGAATTTAATACCTGAGATAAGTGTACGGGTTTTTATAGGCGCAGTCTTGAAACTTTCCGATCGCACCTCGTATAACCATTGGCAACTGATACAAAGGAGATACCATTTACCACTCTTATTAATATCAAGATTAAGTAGTCAAGAATGATGGGCCAATCTAAAGAATTAAACACATACTCATAAATATTATTCCGTAAGGCGTAAAATCCAACAACACAGGCATCAAAAATATTCTCTCATAAGATCCAAAATTCCTTAACAGCAAATGAACAACAATTTACAAAAAGCATTGCGTATTTTTATGAAGATATTTTTTGTTGTAACTAATTGTTAAGATGTAGGATTTGAGACTTTCGTGGCGAGTACAACCAATAACAATAATATTTTAAAATGTTTGTCAGTTCTGCGTATAGAATGAGCATGTAGACAATTTGAATTGTGCAGAGAAACGTCACGGTGTAAATGTAATGACGACTTTATGTTTGGAACTGGTGGGAGCTTAACGAGCCATTCCACAACCTCGTTCAGATTTGTGTTAATCTACGAATTCCATGTAAGAAGATAATGAAGATGAAATCCCACTAAGCCATTGTTTGATCAACCGCATACCACGCTGATGTTTACACGCCAAGGAGATGCAGAAACCAGGCAGAAAGTTGTTCAATTGAATTTAATACCTGAGATAAGTGTACGGGTTTTTATAGGCGCAGTCTTGAAACTTTCCGATCGCACCTCGTACACTGCACCATGGACATGGCTTAGCATTATCAAATAAAAATGTTGACCAGAAGTCTGACACTGTCATACAAACTCATGGTATTCAACATGTGCATCACTTAAGAAGACAATTAGCAACTCTTAAGGTTCTTTTTATCAGTTTCTATGCATTCAAAAAAGTCAGAAGTAACACACAAACAATTTTCTTCCTACTCATGTAAGGAGTAATAGCATGAACTCTAGTTGAGCTGTATCTCACTCCCTAACCTTCAATAAAAATGATGTGTCATGTACAATAATATATTCCTACCTCTTCACCTATTTCATATATAGTCAGTCTTTTGTGATTTTGCACTAAATCACGTGCTTGAGCTACTTATTCATGATTTCTACTTGAAAAAGGTGTCTAATATGTTCATCACTTCTGACAGACATTTGTCCTTCTTTCAAACAACAGAGGTACACAAAATTTGTTTGGTTCATT